CAAATTTTCATCATTATCATTGATTTTTCCAATCATAAGGGCCGATGATAAAAAAAAACAGGATATGATTTTCAAGCAACACTTTGATTAATGTTCGCAATGATTGATTGTTTACGTTATATGTATTTTGAAGATCTTTATCTTTTAACAATTTACTGTTATATATTTTGTTCTGTTTTTCTCAAAATACTAAAAAAAAAACTCATTTGAGTCGTTGCTCCAATAACCGATTCAATTTTGTTTTTGATATTTGTTGTTATCTATTTTTTTTTTTGTTGATGAATTATTGAAAACTGATAATTTTATTTTATTTCAGGTGAGTGATACTAATTCATTGCCATCGCCTTCTTGCTTAAAATGTAAGTTTGACTGCCTTGTTTCTTAGTTTGGTAAAAATATTAACTTACCATTTACAAATCAAACAACTGTTAATTTAATTATAGTACTCAGAGCTAAAATTGTATAACTTTAATTTACATATTTACATATATTCTGTAGTTCATATTGTATTATTTTTTATCGACATAAAATAAACTGACCGAAACCACATTTAGGACAAATTTTACTTTTAAAAATCTATATTATCCAACGCACCTTAATATAAATTTATATTATTATATAATTATAATTATTGTTATTTCCAATTTGTAACCATAATATATAGGATGTTTCAGGGTTAAGTGGCCAAACTGAAAATATGAATTAAGTACCTCAAAATAAGAAAAAAAATTCTATGAAGGGATATCCGCAAACGCTTTGTTTAGGAGATGTTCACACCTAAAGATTTTCATTATTATGGATGATGTACGTTATATGAAATAAATAAAACTTATTTATTTGTTCTAATTACTGTGTTAATTAAAGGTAAACATTAAATTCATATTAAATATTGTTCTAAGCTAATTTCCTTGAGCGTTAAGGCAGACTCGGCATCTTTCTTCAACAGCAGCAGTGGCAGAACGGCACTGGATATGTGTTATTGTTTCACAAGATTCAATTATCCTTCTTCGTAAGGAATTAAGGTCATTGACCGGATTTTACATAGATTTTTTATTTTAATGTCACCCCAAAAAAAAAAAAATCCAGTGGTGTCAGATCTGGAGAGCGTGCAGGCCAAGCCACTAAGCCTGCATGGCCAATCGATTAATTAAGATAATTAGCATTTAGCCGTTGTCGTGGATCTCTTCCGTAATGTGCAGGACAGCCATCTAATTGAAGCCACATGTACCTCCTCAGTTGCAGTAGAATATGTTCAACTAAATCATAGTAATCATTATTAAGAAATTATAGAAATGTGCCCGCATTGAGTTATGGTGGCATCAAATGCGGGCCTGTTAAAGTATTTAGAATAAATGTTAATGTTTACATTTAATTAATAAAGTAGTTAGTAGAACAAATAAATAGATTTTAATTATTTTATATAACGTTACTAATTCATAACAACGAAAATATTTAGTTGTGAATATCTCCTAAACAAAGCGTTTGTGGACATACCTTCAGAGGAAATTTTTTCTAGCTTTGAGGTCCATAGTTCATTTTTGCAGTTTGGCCACTGAACTCTGAAACACCCTGTATATTTTCAAATTTTTATGCCCAACATTAATTTGAATCTTTTATTTCTAATATTTTCATTGTACGTTATATTCTGCTAAATTTTCTATTTCACAATATAATAATTAATATATTATATTCAAGGAGAAAATGAAAGCCTTTAAAGAACTAGGACTCGAAATAAACGTGGATAAAACAAAATATATGGTTAGCTGCAAAAATGGCGATACTACTGGTGATATCGATATAGATGGTAATATGTTTGAACAAGTAGAGAAATTTAGGTATCTAGGTTCTACGATAACTAGAAAAAAACGAAATTGAAGAAGAGATTAAGGTTAGACTGAAGGCGAGAAATGCTTGTTATTTTTCTGTGACAAAACTACTTAGTTCTCGCCTCTTGTCCCGGAACTTAAAAATTAGAATCTATAAAACAATTACCTTGCCTACAGTTCTTTATGGATGCGAAACTTGGCCGCTTACATTACAGGATGAGCAGCGTCTTAAGGTTTTTGAAAATAAAGTATTGCGCAGAATATTCGGACCGAAGAAGGATGAGTTAACCGGAGAGTTCAGACGGTTACACAACGCCGAATTGCGTGAACTGTATCCGGGTAATATAATTGAGGTAATTTCATCGCGGCGAATCAAATGGGCTTGTAAAGTTGCTGGGCTTAGTAACGAGAGAATTCCTAAAAGGTTAATGTTTGCTGTGCCGAATGGTAAGCGTCCGAGGGGTAGACCGAAGCGAAGGTGGGAAGATTGCATTAAAGCCGATCTGAAGGGACTGGGTTTGGACGGGGAAAGGTGGAAGGAGGTGTGTAATAAGCGATTGGTGATGTCGGCATAGAACCTTCGGGTTCGCTAAGCCTTTTATTATTATTCAAGGAGAAACATCTAGATTGAAAAATAACTGCGGTTACCTAGGTAAAATCAAACTACCACTTCTTGATAAATAGATACCATTTCTCGTAGAAAATTTTTAGTCTAAAATCTTTATTTAGCATTAGGAGAACAGGAGATCACAGTAGCTCAACAAATATGTAATTAAATGAACAGTTGTGTAATAAGTGCTAATTATTAAGATAATAGGAGAGTAAATATGAAAGTTACGAAAAACGTTTTTATATAATATAGAGTTATAAAAATTACTTTAATAAAAATCACTTTTTTTTTAATGAATTAAAAAATATATTAAAAAAAAATTGGGCTGATGAAATAATGTGCAACATCCTAAACTCAACTTCGAGCTCTCGAATGTCCTAACAAACTTATCAGAAGTTCCTAAGTTGGATGTAACTTCATTATAACTTTATTGTTGTCATTTCTCAATTAAATTTAAATATTTCTTAGCAATTTATTCTCTACTAAGATTTATTTCAATTAACAGGGAAATTGTTGACTGTAGCTAATATGGTTGATTTCAACCGGAGAAAAAATAAAAACTATCATTTTATGCTTACACTGTCATAAAATGATGTTTAAAAAAGTCTGGTGCGCGCCTTACACAACTTTCACTTACCGCTCTACTTCAAAATGTACTTCTTTTCTGGCAAAGTTGGTCTATCACAAGAAGTTTTTTAAGTGCATTTTTAATTTGAGCTAATTCTTAAACAACATATTTTTGAATTTCTGTCATATTCATCAAAAATATAAAAACTCATCAAAGCCATCAAAATAACATAAATCTTATTTATTATATCGATTGCAGGAGACAACAAACTTATATCATTATCAGTCTATTTGAATCTCATAACAGCAATCTCTGAACTCTATATATAGAGAAAGAGAGAGTTGAAAGTACATGTATTTAATTATGAATAAATAAGGTCATACTACACATAAAAAATATAGAAATTAAATCTTTATCAGATTTTACATGTATTTAAATAATTACATTTTACCCTAGCAAAATTTATCAAAATACAGTTACTTGCTTTCAAATACAGCACATAATTATTTAAATATCGAATCTAGAATTATTATGTATTTAGGGTTATAAACATATGTTTACACATCCATGAAATGTTTTTATATGTTACCATATGTGCTTCTTTTAAGTGAAATGTTTTTAATATAAGGCTGTGTTTTATTTCTTCAACACATTTATTTTAATTTACATAGCTACGTTTCGGCCGGTAAGCCATCTATAAGATAAACACCATTAATTTTATATTCTGATACAATTCAACACTCTATGATTGTGGTATTGGCTCTATTTAATTTAATATTCTATGAATTATAATCCTAATTAGGTTAATTATAATTATAACTTGAGACTTAATTATTTGGACTCACTAGGCCTCAAAACGTGTGTTTCCGTTGAAAACTCGGATTCGAAAATTTTCACGATCATCGAAAGTGAAAGCATTGCACACTTTCACTTAATATATATTTCACATATAGGTAAGCAAAAGTAAATAAAATATATTTCTCTGTGAGAGTGCAACCACTACTAACTTTACAGCTATAATATTTCTATATTATAAATATATTATATATGTTTTGTATGCTTCTTGTTGTTTTAATATTCTGTTTCCAACATTACAAATCCAGCTAGACTTAAAATAATTTTTTGTCCCTCGTTGATGAACGAATTTAATCAATTGGAAGATTTCATCGATACCATTAGTGCTCAGTTTATCCTCAACCACTTGTTCCAACCCTATTCTAAGGGACTGAATGTAACACATCGGATAAATTGTTTCTGAAATTGGCTTATTTAAATAATATTTGTGTGAATTAGTCGAGTACCTAAAAAAAAAATACTGAGATTTCAAGTTTTCACAATCACACAAATTTCTCTTTATACTTTTAAGCATTTTTTTTTTTTTTTATGTGAAAACTTCTTTAGGCGGGGATGACACTTTTTTTTGTGGAGAGTGAATTAGACTGAGCCGTCAGATCTCCGATGTGTAACGCTCGGGTAAATTTCAGCTGGAATCGACTAATTGAAGTGTTTTTGCATATGGATTAAAATATATAATAAACTAAAAATCGGACCTGCATACTGTAAGCGAGCGAATTGTTCAGCATTTCATTCTCTTTTATCAGCTATTATTTATCATTTATATTTCATATTATTAATCTTGTCTTGTTGAGGTTTTCATTATCGTATGGTCTAAAGTAGTGTTGCTCTAAAACCGTCTTGGTCTTTCACTTTTCAAGACTGGTAAAAAAAATCGATTATAAAAATTAAGAGAAAATAGTCACTATTACTCGACAATTTTAGTTACTATATGCCAAGAATTGGTATTGCTAATATACTTTTGCATTTAACTCCTCTTATTTTTTATTCGGGCTCAGTAAGGTTTCTCCGATATAAACACGATACTGGTATCAGTATAGTAGTAGGCTAATAGATTACACTAAGACTCTTGCGCAAGATCAAGACTACATGCCCAAGACCAAGACTCGTCTTGGTCTCGCATTTGGTCAACACTAGTCCAAATTTTTATTTACATGAAATATTTTCTAGATTATTGCAAACCCAAAATATTTAAATGACGTACTGTAAGTAAATTTATAATATGCGAATTTTTAAATAACATTTTAAGAGCGATAGGCTGTTGAACGAAATGCCAAATGAACTTTTAAAGACAGCGAACTAATGCGTGTAGGGGTTGTGCAACTTTTCGATTTCACTACACGTGCTTCAGATTATATGTAAAAATTAACTGGGCCAGTTGTGATGCGGACCTGAGGGAGAAATGGGGGGAGGGAGGGCCGCGCGTGGAGGAATAGTTCAATAAAAAAGGTTGTGCAGGCCACACGTGCTGTCCGGTCAGACCGGTCCGGGTTCGATTATCACCTCGGTTTATGCCTTTTACTTTCTCTGCACTTTCCTCTTCCTGCCTCGTGGTCATCGTTAGTCTCATTAAGTCTGAAAACTTGGGCCTAGCTCATCACAACGCGGCTTCCACAACTTCGAATTTAAGCACTGTATGATTCAAGAAAAATAATCTACTTCGTCATAGTTAGATGGCTCAGAGCTGAATTGTAATGTTACCATTACATCGCGGATAAAAGCACCAAATCTTGTAACAACGTACCTTATACTAATTAATGTTAGCTAAGGAGCCCTCTGATAGCCGACAAAACGAAAACTAACACATTTAACAAAATTTATTTTACTGTTATTTTTTATTACTCAGCACCCTGCAATCATAACTTAAGATATTTTATATAATAAATAAAATACACTAAAATATATCCAAATTGTTTATTCCAGTCCGTTTCACAGACCCCTTTTTATCACATTATTAACATCCGCCTCAAACTTCGTGAATAGCTTCATCTCTTCGTAACCTACAAATATTTTATTTAAGAAAATTCTATAAATTGCATGGTTTTCTATCTGGCAATCAGCAAACTTTGTCTATTTAATTAAGCAAAAAAAATTCGTAAATACTTATTTGCTTTCTACCGATTCAAGTAAAAAGGAGGGCCGTTTGGCCTACCTAATAACCTCGTTATTTTGATATGTTGGGAGTGGAGGTCCAGAAAACCAGGAAGAGTATCAGCGGAAACTCTTAGTGAAGCTCTCGGAAAAACCATAGCGAGCGGACTCCAGCCTTGATGAACAATAGAAGGGAATTTCTAATTTATTAAAACAACAGAAGTGGAAGCACAGGGACCAAGGCGAAAGTTACAGAGGTCTCCATGGTTCGACGATGAGTTAACAAGGATAAGAACAAGGCATATAACAAAGGAGTTCAAAGGCACACCAGAAGCTCGGAGAGCTATCCTGAGAAGAGAATGGCTGAGAAATGGCTGCACTAAAGAAAGATAAGGGAATGAGTGAACAAGCGGATGGAGGAAATCGAGAACCTTCGAAGTACTGATAAGTGCAGACTCTTTTTCTAAAGAGTGAATGAAGGAAGACGAGCCGACCAAAAGTGAGATGCTGTAAGGACGAAAAGATGGAGACGGAACTTAACAGAGCAGACGATTAAAACGCAAGCCCTGAAGAAGAGGAACAAACTCTCGTTGATGACTCTGAGCCTTCCGACAAGGATGATATAAAGAAAGGTATCAGGAAGCGAAAGAATAACAAAGCACCTGGGATTGATGGGATCCATCCATAACTCATGAAAAACAGCGGGGATGAGCTAAGGATGGAACTCCACAATATGATAGTAACTATATGGGACCAGGAACAGATGCCGGAGGACTGGGCGAAAGCTGTTGTATGCCCGATACACAAGAAGGGAGATAAATCCGACTGCTGAAACTATCGTAGAATCGCACTCCTTTCGTGTGCATACAATCTTCTATCAAACTTCTTCTTTGAACGGCTGTCACCCTTTGCTGAAAGACAATTAGGGAATTACCAGACAGGCTTTAGAAGAGGCAGATCAACCATCGACCAGCTTTTCTCATTAAGAATGACACTTGAGAAATGTAAGAAGCACCAGTCGACTCATCATCTCTTTGTCGACTTCAAGGCCGCGTACGACAGTATAGATCGGATGGAGCTGTACCAGGTTCTTGAGGAAATGAGAATATAACTACAAATCTGACGCGACTTTTATAGATGATCATTAGTACCTTAATGTGCGTAGTAGGTATTAGAGCCGATGTTTTGTAGGAGTTCTCCGCAGATAATGAAGTGAGTCAGGGAGATGCACTCGCATGACTGCTCTCCAACCAAGCGGCGGAAGGAGCTGTGAGGTATTCAGGTTGGTGGGACCTTGTTCAATAGACTGGTGTAACTGCTGGGTTATACTGACGACTTTGACATAATGACTAGATCCAAACGAGCCCTAAGGGAGTATTTCTCGCCCTCGAGGAATTTGGATTAAGAGTAAATCAGCAAAAAAGAACAAAGTATATACAAATTGGAGAGCTAGGAAACCACGAGGAGTGCTTTGAGGTTGAACAGTAAAGCAGATTCGAGGTGGTCAATAACTTCGACCACTTGGAAGCGAGATAAACTCCCACAATGATATATCCTAAGAAATTAAGACGACGGATGAAAAACGACTCTTGCTGTTCGAAAGGGAGATATTGAGGAGATTATACGGACCCATCAATGTAAGCGAGACATGGAGAAGACAAAAGAACCAGGAATTGTCCCAAGGATTTGGCTCTTTGAAGATATCGAGATCTCCAAAGTCATAAAAATAGGAAGACTTCGATGGGCTGGCCATCTAGCCAGAATGGATAATGGCGAGATCGCGAAAGTGGCCACAGAAGAGATCTTAGGGACGAGGAGAGGAGGGGGGGGGGGCGACCGAACGTGAAGTGGATGGATGGTGTGACTGAGGATGCAAGGACTCCTTCGGACCCAGCGCTGGACCGGAGGAATGCTGCACAGGATTGGGCCAACTGACGGAGAGTACTTGAGGCGGCCCGTACTCAGTAACGAGAGGGGGGCGGTCACGAGTGATGAATGAAAATTGAGTAATGAGGGCACCGCACCAGATTTTAAATAGTAATCTCTAATGTTTTCGATCTAATATTCTTCGCATTAGTCCTTGTCTAAAAATTATAGAGTTCATTTTGTAATAGTGTGAAGTATGATATACATTACCTATATAGATCTCTACTATGGACAGTTCACCTGGTTCATAATTTTACATCAGATCAGAGCAAGAAACATAATTTTTTTTATTCTTTTCAGCTATTTATTCCTTCTTGAATTTTATTTATTTTAGTCATAGGAGTAAACATTCGATTTTATTGGAAGGGAAGGGGTGGGTGGTGGAGGGAGATGGGAGGAACTTAAAGAAACAATCGTGAGTTTTTATTATGTGTGAAAATTCAATATAATTATGGTGAAACAAACAAATATAATATTGAATATTTGAAATTAATATGTTTATGTGCTTGTATATTTGTAAGGATTTTTATTTATTTATTCTTTAGTTTTACTTATTATACATACTTGAAAATATAAATAAAATTAAAAATATAACGTATTTGTTTAGATTAAATCTGTGACAGAGAGGAGTCAGCGTTCATAACATTGGTACATTCAACTAAAAATGAATAATGAAAAAAATTGAAACATCTCTTTGATAGGTTTTTATATATTATTATTTTTTGCCTTTCCTCTGGCGTGAATTTATAGGTTATAATATGCCAATCCTTTGAAACCTTAAATAAAAATACAACGTACTGTTAGTTTCTCGCGGAAAATCTGATAAGAATATCACGTGAAAATTGGGAGGTGATAGAATCATAAAACCCTAGGATATGTTGATATATATTATTATATTTGAATATAAATGGCAGTTTAAATCGAAGTAGCAGTTAGGTATCGATAAAATGCGAGGCTCTGGCCTAGCCAGTTAGTCGACTTTTCTTTATCGATTTTAGTTCACACATTTTATTCATCCACCTAGCTTATTTATTATTGATTTTAATTTTTTAAATTCAAATTATTGAAGAGCGAAACGATATTTTCGCCCTCACAACATTTTTATTGTAGCCTACACCCACGATTTTTGTTTTTGTATAAAATTTATCAAAGTAGTCACAAATTTCGGTATTTTATCGTCTATGGAAAAAAGCCTTTGAGTCCTAACTCTACTTTACTTGTATCGATTGCTATATATTCACTTGATTACTTTATATTCCGCAACACTCCTTCTACGCACTTCATTATCGCGAAGGAAACGAAGTTGAGCGGAAAAGTTAGTTGATTATATTAAATATTATCTTATTGCGGGGGCCGTGTATTCCATCTACGGGGGCGGCGGTGTATTATTTTTTCCCTTTTCTTCAGTTCCTCAATTACTTCATGGTTTTAATCTTTGACATTAAACAAAAAAAATATCTGGTTCAATACATCACACACCTTTTTAAGTCAATAAACCTTATGTATATTACTTTAATTATAAAGACAAACTTTACAATAAATACGAATAAAAGTATATCTATCCGATATTTAAAAAAAAAAACATTTTTTTATCTAATAATTTTTATTTACATCCGTCAAAAAAAAAAAAAATAATAATATGGCAACCAGTAAAATTGATGATGCCTATGTCTATGACAGGCATGTGGTGTAGCAGTTCCCAGCGGTACCTCTTCATATCCCGATATCTACGTTAATTGTTAGTTGTGTAGATCCCTCATCCAGCTTTTCTTCAATCTTCTATGGACGTTACTGTGTGATGTGGCCATGTCATTTATAAGTATCTTAGGGTTTCCTTGTTAGTTGTCATGGACTCCATTGTAGTGGGTTCGTATGTGTTCGTTAACAGTCAGCATATGAAGATCAGAGTGTAAGGTTATGTTAGTAATGTACCAAGGTGCTTTTGTAATTGTTCAGAATGTTTTTCCTTGATAGATTTGAAGTTTGTTTATTTGAGTCTTTTTAATTGTTCCATATATCTGTGATGTATTAAGTCTAAATATTCTTTAGTAAATAATTGTATGTAATTCCTGTTTTAGTTTTGATTGTTTTCCGATAAGAGAAATTTAGAAGTCTTCTTCTTCGATTTTGTGTTTTTCTCTTTTTTTCGTGATACGTGGGCCCCATGTCATTTTTTGGTCAATAGTAAATTAATGACTATTAGATAGTGAACGGTGTTTGTCTCTTGAATCTGTGTATTGTCAATCACGATGTTTATATTTAAAATTACATGATTTTTCTTCACGTTTTGGATGAAATTCGTTTTATTTGATAGGTAGTGTATTAAAATTTTGCACATATTCATATTAAATACAATATACACAATATAACTACATGTATGCTGCATTATCAAATAGATAAAATTTTATTTAAAAATCTCTCTTAAAACCATTTCAGCGGCTTCTTCTTCACAACAGATTCTTTATTGTAAATTGTATTGTAGACGATGAAATTATTTTGTTTTCATAAAACCTACTAATTTGACCTAAAAAATTGACTCTAGTGAGCAAACCCCAATATGGCAATTATGGCTCGAAAGATATCTAGTAACCCCACCACCATCTTGGAGCAGCGGTACAAAAATATATTTTTAATAACTGGTTTTATTTGTTTACTAGTTGATGTACCATCGTTGACGGGCGTATTGTAACATTGAGGCACCTATATCCGTGTAAAATTAGAACTTGATCTGAATATTGTGGCGGCGGGGTGAAATTTTTGGGAGTTTTTTTTTTAAAACGTTTGGTTAAACCTAAAAATGTATGAGACAACGTTTGTTAGGCTCGGGAAGTTAAAACGAATGACATCTTAAACTGGAAGATCGGACAAAGTTTCAAAATGAGTGTGTTCTACACGTTTTAAGCAACAACGCGTTACAGATGTTCGGGATTTCGGATTTTTCTCGTTGAGTTGTAATAATTTGTTCCATCAGTTGAATATTACAACTTTAAAATGTGGCTCGCGGTAGATTAGGTTGGGCTGAGAATCGAAGTAACTGCCTAACCGGGATCTCTAGACAAATTACTCAAGAATTCATAACTTTGGTTCTATTCAATATTTTATTTTCATTTAAAGCTCATGTTTTAAGTCAAGTAAACCTAAATGTAATGTCAAAATTTCAAAAGTGTACCATTGCTGAAATTAAAAATTCCATTATCCATTGCTGAGCTTATTCATGACAAAATTAAATAACGCGGACATACAGATAGACAAAAATCTTTTAAAAGATCATTTGTTGACTGTAATATAGGGTATCACGGGTTCTATTCCATGTACAGACAAAACCTTTATTTTATTTATATAGATTTTTATTTCTTATTACAATAGTAATTGAATTGTTTATTTATTTGTTTTTGATTGATTTATTAATTAATTTGTTAGGTAATTATTATAAAATTACTCTGTATAAAATGTCCAGCGGTCGGATTTCCACCTCGTAAAATGTTTTGTATTTTTTTCATGGTTTAGTTTTTTAATTTTGTATTATTTATTTAATACAGCGTCATTATTATTGTATAAAAAATAATTTAAATTACATCAATATTTGAGAATATATGATAAACAATTTTTATATTGTCCTTTGTACCCGTAGAGATATAGAGAGCGGGATGAGTGAATTCTCAAGATATCTTCCAATTCGGACATGTTTGACTTCATCCCCACCAGGTTTATCGTCTGGTTTACCTCCTCACTCCCACCAGGACAAACCAGACCACCTCGAATTAGGGGATGCTTCTCCTAATCGGCTTGGAAATCGACGATTGGAGCATCCTGGATACATCGGGGACTGAGGAGTCTTCCTGAAGGGCAGTTGTTGGGAAAGCAGTTTTATCTTTAAACCTGTCACAGAGCGATTAAAACTTTTTTAGGTCCTTGTGCTAATTTGTATAGTTATGAGGAGCCAATCAGATAACAGCATTATTTTTCAACGGAATCCTGTTTGTCTTTTTTCGATTCTCAGGGTAATAAAAAAAATCAACGCTGGTATCTACTTAGTAATGATTTATTTCTCCATTTCTAAAAGAAATTATCCGAAAGCTTCAATCTTTATTGGGCGAATTTAATAATTAAATATTTTCCATGAACCATTGGATTTGTCCAACTAAATCGTTGTATTGTATATCATAAATCTGTTCTTGTAATTGTGAAATATTGTGAAGATTGTCGAGTTCTAAAGCGTAACAAATCACGTTTATCGACACAAGCCGCATTCCTGTTTGAAGGGAACTTTTTACATTCTTCGAATCATGAGTATAATAAATAATATGTATTGATATATTTATTTTCCGATTATATCAGTTCTAAACCTAATCATTTCTATATAATTAATCTCATATTTAAGAAAAAAATGTAATATTTAAACAACAATTATGTTTTGCGGCCTCACAACTCCAATAATAATAATAATAATAATGCTTTATTTATTCTGGGACGAGTCCCTTTAGAATTAAACAGAAAGACAAAAATGTGTGCTAAGGAGCCTCAGATATGCATAAACAACTTACATACAATAACATTAAATGCATTATTTTTAAAAAATCATAATACTAAAATATGATTTAAAATTAAATTAAAATATTAACCAATAAAAAAGACTCGGACAGATTACATGTAATATGGAAAGGTTGTCTTAATATGTAGAGCACAATATTCCAGATTATTCACCAATTCTCTATAATTTGATATTTTGAGATAAAAAAATTTAATTTTCTTAATTTAATTAAGAAAAATCTAATCATCTGCAGTGGTTGGCTTAAGTATTTCTGTCCCATTAAGATTCCTCATACCCTGGGAAATTCTTACTCTTAAACTACTGAAAATTAGATATTTAAATTGTATATGATGAAGCACTAGCTGATCCAGGATTTAATTTTGGGGGAAGGGCTACAATCCGTAAGATTATTTTTGAATTTACACAGCAATAAAGAAATTGGAAAAAAAAATAAAGAAACTAACTACCTATATGAAATGGTGTTTAAGTGATTCTTGAAGTGCTATTAAATATAATTACACGAACAATAATACTTTAGGAGATAGTTTTTAACATTTTTTTCTATATAACATGGTTATACTTTACCCTTTTGGGGGCTAGAGGACTTCAGACCGAAAGTCTCCCACGCCTGTATGATGAAGTGTTTCGTTTTCTGTATTGTTGCACATTTCACACTGAAGTTGTTTAGTAAGTGTAGTATCTATTCTTATCAGCTTAATCTGTGGTACGGTCCTCATCTTTTCTTATAATATATATATTGTTCTTTATGTTCGAACTCTTATTATTTCGGTCACGCTTGAATGTAGATAAAAACTTTAAGGTCTGAAAAGAATGTTGAGCAAAAGTTAATGAGAAACAAATAAAAATATTCTGATTAGGTGACTTGTTATCGAGCAGGTTATTTTTGGACCGATCCGTGCCCTATCAGCTTCCGATGTTATTCACCATGCTTCGTGCCCCTGGCTATTATCAGACGGGTAACAATATTTATATTGAAGTTCTCAGCTCAACAAAGAGGTCCCAATAGCTTTTATTTTGATTAGTCTGCTTATTTTAAAATTAGTATTATTTATTATTAGTGGGGTAGCTCAGTGGTCGAGCACTGACTTCCAGAGCTCAAGGTCATAGTTTCGAATCCGGCTGATGACTAGTAATTTTTCATTAACCGAGGATCGACCCTGAGGTCAGGAGACCTTCCTGGGGCCACCCAGCCTCTATTAAGTGAGTACTGGGAAAACCTGGCGATTGAGCGAGATTTTGTCCCAATCACGTCTTTGCACAACCGTTGCTCTTGTAAGTGTACTTACTCAGATAGTACTGAACCCATTTTACTTTCACTTACCTATATATGTAATATATAGTAAGGAGAATTATTGCAATCGTGAAAATTTTCGAATCTCAGTTTTCAATCGAAATACACGTTTTGAGGTATCCTGAGTCCAAATAATCAAGTCCCGAAAAATAGTCTGTGTGTTTGTTTGTTAGCAGTCTAGCTCAAAAACGAAAAGTGGTAAGAAACTATAAACTTAGGTATTTAAGATAGGTATATGCGTTAGATGTCACTGCAACTTTTTCATTGAAATCGGCTAACCAGAAGTGGTTAAAATCGGCTAAAGCCTTAAGTTAATATTTAGAAAATTAAATTAGTGAGCAATTTGATGACTTTTTCCCTTGTGATATTACAATAGTATCCACTTACAATTAGTGTGCCAACTTCTGACCTGTCTATGACAGACAATGCATATCTCTTAATTTTGTTTTAGTAAACTTTGCCATTGAAATTAACAGTTTAATAACTAATAGTCGTACAGTGTATGGATCGTACAATATATAATCAACCGGTGATATAATAAATAGGATTTTGTTATTTTAATGGTATTTATGATTTGTTAGCTGTAAACTTTTAGATTTAGCTCTGTTAAAAATGCAATTCAAAAATTTTATGGTAGCCCAATATGGCAAGAAAATAATTTCTATTCAAAGTTAAGCAGTAAGTGAAAGATGTGTGTTGCGCGCACCAGGTTTTTGACAATAGCCCACTACGACCAGAAAATAATTTCTACTCAACAAAGGGTGCTAAATGAAAGTTGTGTGGTTTTAATTGAGTATGTTCAAATGGATTTATATAAAAAATGTGCATGTTTTTCGTATTTAGTTGCTATATAATTTTCATATCTGATGATTTATAGAAAAAGTAGAAAAAATTGATAGAAACGAAGTTATAACAGAGTTTGCAACTCCATCAAAACTTTTATAAGTAATATATAGAAGTAAACCTGTGTGACTGACTCCGATATCAAACAATTTCCGAAAGCTAATTCCGTGGAAATAATGTTTTTGGCTCAGAGATCACTGACCCTGAGTCAATACTCAGACCATACTCACGCTCTAATATTCCGATAAATTTTAACCACTACCTGGAGAATTTTCGAAAATATTTTTGAATATAAAAGATTTTCTTCTCGTGACGGCAGTCTTGTTAGTCGAGTATTGTAAGAATTGGTCGAAAGTATTTGCTGAATTTCGGGGCCAGTCATGACCACCAATGGTTGTGTTCCACCTCGCGTGCTTTCTTGGTTTTTATATAAACGTTTGGCGAAACGTTAATGGGAAGATAATTTGCATGCCTATAGTTATTACCAATGAAGTTTTTTGTTCAAAATCCATTAGAGCCTTGGTAGGCTAAATATTCCAGTTTTTAGAACCTAATTAAAATCAAATTGATCGAAACGTGCTTCGGCAATATCCGAAATTTACCGATAATGTTTAGATAATTAATTCGAAACGGAAATTCTATGATTTTTCAAATATTCTAATTATCTTTTCAAATAAATTAAATTAAGAAACCCGAGTGGGATGGGATTTGTAATAAATATGCATTTCAAACAACGAAAGTATATATTTTTTATCTTTCAATATTTATCTGCGCCTCTCGAAAACTGTTGGCAGTAAGCATATAGTCTGCATAGAATAACGAAACTCACATGTAAGGCATGGAGAAGGATAGCATCTAGCAGTACTTCTTTCATGGTTTGATTCAATAACCATAGTTTGTTTAGGAAAGAGGTCTCTCATCCAATGCCTTTTCAGTCTCCTCCTCTTATCGATGGGCATGTCCTGGTGACTTCTTAATGTGATAGATTAGAAGTGGGAAAAAATGGTGCTATAAATAAAAAACACACGAAATTTATACAAAAGAAGGCCTTAAAAAATATCTATTCGAAGAATGGAACAGACTAAGTTCGGATTCACCAAAAAATTGGCCGACTCGGTTAAAAACAGACTGAAAGAAGTGATAGAAAATTGTGGTTGAAATACAATGCGTTGAACTAAACTAATGATGTTTTAATGTTAAAAGAAGTGAGGTGTATCATTTTGACTGTGAGGTAAAATTATTCATTTTTTTTTTAATTTTTAAAAGATCACGGTCCAATATTTTAATTTTATTCAGTTTGTTCATGTTTAAATTGAGACTACAAATTAAATCTGTTGACACATAATATAGTAATTCTACATTATATAATTTTTTAATATGAATAAATTGTATAATAATAAATTAATATAATCGCTGAAAGTAGATATGACGGTATGATACTTGCTATTATAAGAAGACGCATGTAGTTTACATAAGAAATGTAATGCACTAGTACATGATAGTAAATTATAAAATTATATATTAAAAAAATGTGCGTTTTTTAAAATATGTTAATATTTTTAAAATAAAATAATATTAGAAATTACTGTCAAGTTCGGAATCACAAAAAAATTGGTCGACTCCATTACAGACTGTGAGGTAAAATTATTCTTTTTTTTTTTTTGTAATAATGACAGTTGATTATTTAAATTTTATTCAGGTTATACATATTTAAATCGAGACTACAAATTAAATCTTTTGAAGAAATTCTGGTATTTAGTTTTACTGTAACCCTTCAATTTTCAGGGCTTACACATTTTACTGTGTGTCACTGTATGTATTCACGGCGTATGACTGAATGTTTTATTTATATTTTTACAAAATTTTGACTCAGATGTTGGACAATATGAAATAAGGGGAATAGTGACAATTAGTTGTTGTAAATTATTACTATAAGACAACCTAATTAATCTGTTATTGAGGAGGAGAAAAACTTCAAACATTCAGGTGTTTTATGGCGTCTGAAGTTTAGTGTACTTGAAAGATATTTATGGGTCCTAATTATCAAATTGTATGGGACCTTACTATAGTTATTTCATTTCTTTGGTAAAAGTTAGGTTTTGATAAATGAAGAGATGATCCTGATTAAGACCTATAACCTCGAGGACACATTAGCCAAGGCTACACGGAAGAGTTCCTGGAGCGACACGGAGGAAATGTCTTCATTACCGTGGAGGAGGATGCTGGAAGAACTAAATGGCGCAAGATAAGAGGAGTTGAGACAGTAGTTATAAAGATATTAGATAGTAGCTAGTGCTGTGATTAGATCCAGCACTGCTACTTCCCCACTGTTGGTTCAAGAATGGAACAGACATGGGTTCTCCCGGACTACTGGGTCTCACAGTTCCTCACAGGGCATGGGGGTTTCCGAGCAAAGCTCGTTGAATATGGCAAGAACATCGATCCCCTATGCCCAAGTTGCAGAGTGCCGGAGACCGCCGAGCATATCATCCTAGTCTGTACCGCCTTTGAGGCACTGAGGGCTAAGTTGTTGAGGGAGACGGGGCTCTACGCTCTGACGGAGAGCGATCTCCCTCAACTTATGACAAAGGAAAAATACCCGTATTACAAGGCATTCGTATACGGGTGGAAGGAACTGGTTGGGTCAAACCACTTTTCATTGGGAAGAAGAAATGAACATGTATACGGAAGACCGCCAGAGAGGGTGGAACAGGATGCTGGATAAAAAGAAAAAAAAGAGCAGGCTGTGTGCACAGCTGTAAAAAATGTAATTGGT